CCATACTTAAAAATTCTTAGTTACTCTTTTTCTTAGCATTAAATCAGCCACAGAATAGTTAGATTGGTTTTTTCAGCATGTCTGTGCTGTGAGCCCTGCCTGGGAGTGAGAGGATTCCCAAGTTTATTAGGAAATGTTCATTTATTTCCCAGTGACTGAGCACTTGGCAATCCAGGGGCAGCAGAGCCCAGCCAGCCCTCAGTGGCTACTGGGGTGGAGAAGGGGAATTGTTTTAGTGGAATTGCTGCTTAAACAAGTTGGGCCATGATTTAATGTCACAAAGTCACAGAATCCCAGGATGGTTGGGGTTGGAAAGGTCCCCACAGGTGGCAGATTTATCCCGACTAAATCCTTCTGTCTCTCCCTTTTTCTTGCAGGACTTATTTTTTAAATACACGTGGAATAACTTTTTGCATTTCCAAGTGGAACTGTCCATAGCAGCTATTCTGTCCCACTCTGTGCAAGAGGGCAAACCCCCCACGAGTGAGCAGGAGAGCACAGAGGAGGCTCCCAACGGGACCGCGGTGCACACGGAGCCTCCGGCCAACACCCCCGAGAACCTCATGGTCACCCACGTGAGTCACCACGCTCTGGGGCCCCTCTGCACTGCTTTAACCAGCAGTTGGTGGATCAGCCATTCCAGAGCGTGGAGTTTCATTCCTCTTAGTTCCTTGTTGTTTGTTGTTGGTTCTCATGGCTCCGCACGTGCTTCTGTACATTTATTTTTAGCATCCTGTTACAAAATAAACGTCAAAATCACCGCAGTTAACGGGCTCGTGAATCCATTGCTATTCAATTCCGGTTTTTTTAGTAAAAACACCTATAAATTTTGGACAAAAAAACCTCCCTGAGCGCATTTCAGCTTCCCTCTGGGGGCCCTGCTGGTGAGACCTTGGTGCTGTGGTTCCAAATGCCAGCAGTGTTTCCATCCCTGCTGCTGGGAAGCCCAGGAGAGGGGGGGATGTTACAGGTGTTGCTGTTCTCCCTGGGGAGATCCTTGGGGAAAATAATTGTGAAAGAAGGAATTCTTGGGCAAGGGAAGTGCTGGAATTTGAGGGTTTGGGGAGCGAAGGGAGGAACCGAAGAACCCACGTTCAGTCTCCTGAGCTGTGAGTGTTCCTTTGGAAAATCCTGACTGTTCTCCCTCTTCTCCCCTCCAGCTGTTCCAGAAGTGCTGCCTGGTGCAGAGGATACTGGATGCCTGGGAAGCCAATGACAAAATCCAGTAAGGAATTGGTGCCCCAGGGCTGCACATTGAACCACTGGGAGGATTTACAGCTTAGTGGTGTCTGAACCCACTGGGATTTTGGTTGGGATTTGGAATTGGAGTGGTTTGCATGTTAAAAAGCCAAATTCCCCAAATACACATAGAATTTGAAAGCCTTATTATTTTTTGGGGTGTCTCTTAACACCTCATCCCAAACACACAATCTGCTGCTTTCCCAGGAAATCACAAAGAATATTCACTTTTTTCCTTTCTTGTGTTTTTGTTTTAAATCCATAATTATATTCTCCCTACAGTGGAAAACTGTGGAAACTGAGGTGGCCAAGCATTTGTGCCCTGGATTTGGTATTTTCCCTTTATAAACTCCTTGGATATGTGCTGATTCCAGTGATAAGAACTAAAGAATTAAAAAATCCTAAAACATATTAAAGTGAAAATACTTTGGAGGCTTCAGTTTCCTTGTCCAGTTGAATGTTTTGGTCTTCCCTCACTATTTTGAGCTCTGGATGGAGCTGGAGCTGATTTAGGCCAGAAGTGCTGGGTTGGGGTTTGGTTTGATTTTGTTGTTGTTGGTTTGGGTTGGGTTTTTGGGGTTTTTTGGTCTTTTCCCTCTTACAACCCCTTGCCTCGATGACAAATTCTGCTGGTAACTTCCTTGCCCAGTGCCCAGTTCTGTAGGGACCAAAAATATCCCTGGTTGTTCCTGAAGAGTTTTCCCAATTCCATGAGAAGGGAGCTGGCAGGGTCCTGGGGCAGGAGCTCCTGGAATGCTGGGATTTGGAAGGCTGTTCCTGAGGCAGGAGCTCCTGGAATGCCGAGGGGCTGGGAGGCTGTTCCTGGGGCAGGAGCCCCTGGAATGCTGAGGGGCTGGAAGGCTGTTCCTGGGGCAGGAGCTCCTGGAATGCTG